GAGTCTCAGGGATATGGGGACAGGCAGGACCACAGGGACAAGTCCCAGGGACATGGGGACAGGCAGGACACAGGGACAAGGACTTGGGGACAGGCAGGACACAGGGACAAGTCCCAGGGACTTGGGGACAGGCAGGACACAGGGACAAGGACTTGGGGACAGGCAGGACACAGGGACAAGTCCCAGGGACTTGGGGACAGGCAGGACACAGGGACACGTCCCAGGGACTTGGGGACAGGCAGGACACACGGACAAGGACTTGGGGACAGGCAGGACAGTGGGACAAGTCCCAGGGACTTGGGGACAGGCAGGACAGGGGGACAAGTCCCAGGGACTTGGGGACAGGCAGGACACACGGACAAGACACAGGGACAAGTCCCAGGGACATGGGGACAGGCAGGACACACGGACAAGGACTTGGGGACAGGTAGGACACAGGGACAAGTCCCAGGGACTTGGGGACAGGCAGGACACACGGACAAGGACTTGGGGACAGGCAGGGACAAGTCCCAGGGACATGGGGACAGGCAGGACACACAGACAAGGACTTGGGGACAGGCAGGACCACAGGGACAAGTCCCAGGGACATGGGGACAGGCAGGGACGAGTCTCAGGGATATGGGGACAGGCAGGACACAGGGACAAGTCCCAGGGACTTGGGGACAGGCAGGACACAAGGACAAGTCCCAGGGATATGGGGACAGGCAGGACACACGGACAAGGACTTGGGGACAGGCAGGACACAGGGACAAGACACAGGGACAAGTGCCAGGGACTTGGGGACAGGCAGGACACTGGGACAAGTCCCAGGGACTTGGGGACAGGCAGGACACACGGACAAGGACTTGGGGACAGGCAGGACACACGGACAAGTCTCAGGGACTTGGGGACAGGCAGGACAGGGGGACAAGTCCCAGGGATATGGGGACAGGCAGGACACACAGACAAGGACTTGGGGACAGGCAGGACACAGGGACAAGTCCCAGGGATATGGGGACAGGCAGGACACAGGGACACGTCCCAGGGACTTGGGGACAGGCAGGCCACCGGTGCCAGGCTTGGGGTGTCCCCCGTGCGCCCACCCCGGTGGCCCAGCACACACGCGTGCCCACCGTCCCGCCACCATCACGCGTGCGGTGCCCGCCGGCCCCCCCCTCGCCCCCCCGGCGCCACGTACAGTGGACCTGCAGCTTCTCGGTGGTCGACCTCTCGGAGTTCTGCAGGGACTCGTGGTCCACCGAGCAGGTCACCTCGGCCCCGTTCTCCTCCTTGGTCACCCGGAACTCCACCCGGCTGCTCACCGTGAACGTCTTCCCGTTGGGGTCCTCCAGCACCTCCACGCCCGTGTCTGCGGGGACGGGGCACGGGGGGGGCCCTCAGAGCTCAGGGGGCACCACAACAAGGTCACAGCGGTCACTTTGTCCCCACAGTGTCCCCCCAAACCCCACCTGACCCCCACAGGATGTGTCCAGGTTAGGAGGGACCCACCAGGACCATCCCCAGGCAGGGGACACAGGGGGCCCTCAGAGCTCAGGGGACACCACGGCGAGGTCATGGGGGTCATCTNGGAGGGACCCACCAGGACCATCCCCAGGCAGGGGACACAGGGGGCCCTCAGAGCTCAGGGGACACCACGGCGAGGTCATGGGGGTCATCTTGTCCCCACAGTGTCCCCCCAAACCCCACCTGATCCCCACAGGATGTGTCCAGGTTGGGAGGGACCCACCAGGACCATCCCCAGGCAGGGGACAGGGGGGGCCCTCAGAGCTCAGGGGACACCACGGCGAGGTCACGGGGGTCATCTTGTCCCCACGGTGTCCCCAAACCCCACCTGACCCCCACAGGACCACGGGATGAGTCTGAGGTGGGAGGGACCCACCAGGACCATCCCCAGGCAGGGGACACGGGGCCCTCAGAGCTCAGGGGACACCACGGCGAGGTCACGGTGGCCACTTTGTCCCCATGGTGTCCCCCCAAACCCCACCTGACCCCCACGGGATGTGTCCAGGTTGGGAGGGACCCACCAGGACCGTCCCCAAGAGGTGTGACCAAGGCAGGGGACAGGGGGCCCTCAGAGCTCAGGGGACACCACGGCGAGGTCATGGGGGTCATCTTGTCCCCACGGTGTCCCCCCCAAACCCCACTGGACCCCCACAGGATGTGTCCAAGTTGGGAGGGACCCACCAGGACCGTCCCCTCAGAGCTCAGGGGACACCACGGCGAGGTCATGGGGGTCATCTTGTCCCCACGGTGTCCCCCCCAAACCCCACCTGACCCCCACAGGATGTGTCCAGGTTGGGAGGGACCCACCAGGACCATCCCCAGGCAGGGGACACGGGGGGCCCTCAGAGCTCAGGGGACACCACAACAAGGTCACAGCGGTCACCTTGTCCCCACGGTGTCCCCCCAAACCCCACCTGACCCCCACGGGATGTGTCCAGGTTGGGAGGGACCCACCAGGACCGTCCCCTCAGAGCTCAGGGGACAGGGGGGCCCTCAGAGCTCAGGGGACACCACGACGAGGTCACGGCGGCCACTTTGTCCCCACGGTGTCCCCAAAGGCCACCCCAACACCCACAGGACCACAGGGCTGCCCCTCGGTTGCCCCCCCATGGTTGGCACCCACCCTTGACTCCCAGTTGCCCCCCGGGTGACATCCCCATGGTTGGCACCCACCCTTGAGCTCGCGGTTGCCCCCTGGTTGCCCCTTGGTTGCCCCCCAGGGTTGGCACCCACCCTTGAGCTCGCGGTTGCCCCCTGGTTGCCCCTCGGTTGCCCCCCATGTTGGCACCCACCCTTGAGCTCGCGGTTGCCCCCCCGTGGTTGGTACCCACCCTTGAGCTC